GGCGCAGGGGCCCGCGAGCGGCCGGCCCGCTCCCCTTACCAGGTCATAGTCCTCCTCATCATCGCACATGAAATCATCCTCCATGTCAGACATCTTGGCCGGAGGACGCGCGGGGAGGGGGAGAAGGGGGTGGGGCGGGGGGCGGAGCAACAGCCGGGCGGACGGCCCTCTTCTCCCAGAATGTCCCGCGGGCCCCTTCAACGTGACGACGCTGCCCAGCGCGAGGCGGGAGAGGGGTTGCACGTAAAAGCGTCCGACGCCGCTTTGGCGTGCACGGAGCCTCGCTCGGGGTGCGCCAGGCCCGCGCCTGGCCGCCAGGCCCTTAACGACGGCTCGGGCCGGGTTGCGAAAGCGTCGCTGGGCCGAATGCATTGGGTTTGGTGCTTCGGGCAGGGCTAGGTGCCCCCGATACACTCGGACGTAAGCGGCGAGGCTTCAGATCCCGGGTGCAAAACTCCGGGACGACCTTAAGATGGCTGCCGAGGGATACGGAGTACGGTACTCTCCTTTCGGCGGCCCTGCGGCTTTTTGGCAGCCGAAGAGGAGCTCGCGACGAACCCCCGCGGGGCAGAACCACGTTAAGTCCGCCTCAATCAACTTTCCTTAAATCGTCCGCTGATTAAAGGGAAGAGGAGAAAGAAGCTTTTCACAAGAGGAGCTGCGGCCCTGTTCCTGTCAGGGGCCTCCGCCTTTTTCAATTAGAACAGCCGCCACCGCAGCAGGGCCACCCAAATGCAACACGGGTAACCCTAGACAGTGTTTCTCAACCTCGACAACTTGAAGATGTGTGGACCTCATCTCCCAGAATACCCCAGCCAGTTTGGGGGAGTCTGCTTTAATGGCTACAGGACGGGCAAAGACCCAACAGATTCCTTTTTCCGTTTTGCAGTTTGCCTGGTTTGGCCTCAGCTTGAACCCAGCCACTGAGGTTGCAAGCTGTGTGTAGGGCCTGCACAATATATAAAGTCACCAGTTGTGGCTTTTCCATACACTGCCAAGCCATAGTTTAGCACCATATGCACATGTCTGGCGTATGGATACGAGTAATGAATTCCTTATTCCAGGAACTGGACTAGATCAGCGTTTTTCAAACTTGGCAACTTCAAGATGTGTGGACTTCAACTTCCAGAATTCCCCAGCCGACATGCCAAGTTTGAAAAACACTGGACTAGATCATCTCCAAGGCGCCTTCCAACTTTCACAAAGCCTGGTAGCGCTTTTTCTGATTAACGCATTTCATTAAAAAGCATCTCCTTTCTTGAGCTACACCTCGCTTCATCAGAAGCCCTAAGCGTCCACTTTGGTCAGGAAAGTTTACGCCTTTAATGTGTCAGTCGAGAAAGGTGCTGCAGACTAAAACGGCTCTCCTCCAAAGCCTCCCGCCTTCACGGTCGGCGATCCTATTAAACGCATCCCAGTGGAGGGGAGAAAAAGGGGCGCTTTTATTCCCGAAAGTGGGTATTTGCAAACTGCAGAAGTCTTTTCGCGAATGTCTCCTTCGCGGCCATTCGCCTCTTCCTGGTTGAGGTGAACTTCTCCATCTGCGCATCTGCTGCGGAGGAAGGGCACCGTCGTTCGCAGAAGCTTCGGCTGGTCGGGAAGCCGCGTTGCCATCACAAGCGCCTCTGGGCGGGGAATACAAGGCGGAAACGTCGCGGCCGCAGCGAGGAGAGCTGGAAGCGGACGCGTCCCACGGTTGGAGTCTCTGGACTTGGCCGGTTGCAGGAGGAATAAAGCCTCGCCGCAACGTTTCCCCGGGCGTGCAGTGATCGCGGGGAGGGAAGCAAAGAATGGCTGCCGACGCGCCCCCAGTCCTTTCGGTCCAGCTGGTGGAAGAACCGAGGTGCGTGGCCGGATTCCCGCCCCCTTCCGCGTCTGAGCTCTGCGTGTCAGGGCAGAAGGCTGAGCGAAGGACTTCCTTCCTTGATGTGCTTTGCAACGAGTCCTGTGCAAGTTTACTCGGCGATAGCAGCCGGCTGTTCCACGTCGCTTACTCCGAGGTCGAGGTGCATCAGATTGCAGTCCTTTGTAGTCTCACAGAAGACTACAAGAGCAATTCTGCGTGCTTTATTCAGTTTGCTTCCTATTAGTTTTTCAAGGAGCAAAAAAAAAAAAAAGCATGCATATTTTTGCCCACCCCTCCCAAGTTTGATCTTACAACCTTGTAAGACAAATAGAGCTCCTGTGATGGAATGGAATTATGAAGGCCAGGCTCAGGGAGATGGGAGGAACAAGAGGATGAGACTGGCACCTCCCTGAGGAATTCATCCTGTTTTGGTGAGCTAAGAAAATGTTTATCACCCTGAGCCTGGCCTTCATAATTCCATTCCATCACATCTCCCTAGGTAGGGATGCCTTGTTAGGATAACCGTCCCCAACCTAATATCTGATGGGTTGGATTATAACTCCCATAAACCACTGGTGTGGCCAAGGGTGACAGATTGGGAATGATTGGGTTAAGGTTTTGGACTAAAATTGGGGATCCAGGTTCAACTCTACTCAGCCACGGATGCTCACTTGGTGATTTGGAGCCAGTGAGTATTTCTTAGGCTAACATGTAGTTGTGGGAATAAAACTGGATGACTCAATATAACTTGACTAACAAAGTTTATTGATCAGCAGAAGGGTGCAAATTCAAAATGGCAGTTATTTTGGTTCGGTCAGCATTGTAAGGCACAAAGTTTCATTAAGAAGCCACATCCAGCAGGGTTGAATGGTGGCATGGGTGTGCCTGATAACCAATTTACAAGTTAAAGACCTGGGATGAACATAGGCATGGAGTCTGTCCATCATCTGGATTATCTCTGGGTGGGGTTGGATTTGGGATCAACTGCATGCAGAATTTACGCTCTGCCACATAGCTGTGGTTCCCTCAACACTAAGCCATGATTTTTTGAATAAACTGCAGTAGGTTAGGATCATATAACATAAAACTAAATAACCTTACCTGGCTTGTGTACTATGTAAACATTATCTACCATTACTTTCAGTTACTGCAGCTGTGATTACCAGAATGGACCTATAAATACTACAGCTCCGTTAGCCTACAAAACTAGGACCTGCTCATGTCAAATTGGTTGAAGACTTTGGATTTTGAAATGTATCCCTTGACATTTGTATTGGTGACAAATTTGTACTGCTGCTTCTTTTCAGACTGCTGAAGCTGAAGAAGATGTTCATCTCTAAATTTAAATCAACACCTAAATTTTATGTTCGAGCACCAGGGCGAGTCAACTTAATAGGTAAAGTATATTTTTAAAAAATATGTGTTATTTTGTCAACATTTGAGCAGTTGAATAAGGTGGCAGCCAGAATTTTTCGCTTTTAATTGTCTATATTTGTTTATTACTCCAGGCTGTAGGGCTTGGCACCCAGGTATCTGCAGAATTGCCACCTCCTGCTTGAATTGACCTGTTCAGTACATTCTTCCCGGGAGAAGTTTTTGGATATACTGTACCCCACTTCCATGAAGTGGGGGGAAGAGAGCCAAGAGATGCTGTATTTCTGACAGCAGTGCAATGGAATGGTTTCCCTTTAGAATTAAGACTTGTCGCATCTCTTAACGTTCTAGAAACAATTCCAGACAGCTCTTCAGTAGAGCCATGTGTCATCTGTATTATTATTGATAGAGATATTATTATGATGTGTATTTTTACTGCTAGTTGGTTAAGTGCTTTGGTTATTTTTTAGACTTTTATTCAGTGCTTTTATCATGGCCATTTTAATTTCTTAATTGTATATTGTAGATGTTTTACCATTGACTGTTACTGTAACCTGCCATGAGTCTGTAATTGATTTGATGGTATACAAATGGAATAAATAAATGAATATATATTTTTGATAATTAACTGCATGTTAATCCAGAATAAATTTGCCTGCACTATTGCTTAATGCTTTTAGACCCCTCTCAGTTTCTACAGCATAGGAATACAGGTTTTCCTTTAGTGACCACAGTTGGGACCAGCAACTTGGTAATTAAGCGAAGTGGTCACTAAGTGAAACCATTACTTTGCTTATGATCTTACTTCAGCTTTCCTTTGGTTTACCGACCTGCAAAGGTTGTAAATGCAAAGATTGGTCACAAAGTTACTTTTTATCATCATCATAACTGCGAATGGTTGCTGTACGAGGCAGTCACTAAACTAGGACTACCTTAATGTATACAGTGAATACAGTAGTACACTTTTCCAGAGTTACTTGCATACAGTTGTCATGTGAAAGCATATATTTAAACACTTTATCTTATTCACTTTGCTCCTGTTAATTCCACATAGAGGAAATGGCTTTATTGTTTGATTTCAGTCATTGCTGTATTTTTTTTTTTTTTACATTATCTATTACATTTTTATGCTGCCTGACTCCCAGCAACTGAATCACATTCACGGTGATTTGTTGAATAAAACACAAGGGTTCTGTGGCTTAGTAGGTTCCCACATCACACAGAAAGGCAAAAACCAGACCAACCAGCTTCTAACTTAGTATAATGTATGGCCCAAACCACTGGTCTGTTTAGTCCATTATTATTCCTAGTATCAGTTCTCCAATAATTAGGGAATCTCATATCTCATACTGTTTCCAACTCCTGTTGCATTATATCTTTAAATGGAACTAAAACATATTCTCTACCGTTTGGCACACTGGGAAGATTTCTCATATTAGCTCCTTCTTCAGGGGAAACTTGGCATTTCAACTGAGAAATAGAATATTCCAACCTTATAGACAGAAAAAAAATGAACAAAGAAAGCTGTCAGGCTTCTACTGCCTTCTGTGGTGTGGCCGGCATGCTGTTAATCCCAAGAACAAGTCTTTGAGTTCAAGTTAATATGATTTATTAAGGAAGAGTTACCACCACAAGAATTCCAGCAAGTACTCTACTTTCAAACAAAAAACCTATACGTATGTAGGTAAATTTAAATTGGAAGTTTTTGTTCTCTTTCTTGCTCTTTTTATGGAAAGTGGAGGTGGCTTGTCTCTGTTAGGAAGGAGGGCAGGCTGCACCTGTTGGTTGGTTAATAAATGACTGCCCATCAGCAGTCTCAGAGTCAGCTCTCACAGATGCTCATGGTGGAAGCCATTCTTTCTGGTTCCATCAAGTTGCTTCAGTCTACTGAGGGCCAGCCCTATAAACCAAGATGTAAGCTGTATGGCCTCGGATCTTCAGCATAAGCCATCCCATGCAGAATGCGCTCAGATTAAAAAGGGGGCATGTGGCTGCTATGTAACAAAATTTAATTTTCTGATTTTTTGGTAGGTGAACATATAGATTACTGTGGATATGCTGTGCTCCCAATGGCCGTAGATCAAGACATACTTATAGCAGCTGAACCTCTAAGCACTCCAGTTATCCATTTGGCTAATACAAATCTCTTGTACTCGTAAGTGCCATTTTTTCACTGATTATTGTTGTAACTCAAGTTTTATAGGTGCTTCACAGAAGCTAAAGAATGGCACAGTCTCTCCTTGCAGGCATGGAATTTAATAAGCATATCGCAACAGGAAAATGTATGAAAATGGAGCAAAACTGACAGCAGAATCCATTATATGCTACTCAGAATTAAGTCATTGAGTAATTGAACTATCAGCAATCTTCTTGCACCTGGAAATACATACATGTGTTATACTTTAGGTCTCAACACTCTTCAGCCAACATGGCTAATGGGAGCTGTAGTCCAATACATCTGGGCATTAGATTGTAGAAATCTGTGTTGCACCCTGGGTGAGTTTAGTTATCTATGTAAGCTGATAACTGTTTTAAAAATGTTAAATTATCTTTTGATTCCCAAAACACTGAATAACGTGGGATATAATTTACTCAGACGGATTCATTTGCTTCAGATAAAAATATAAATTACTAATACTATAATTTATTACATCAGATATGTGAGAGCCTGGAGTAGTGATTAAGGCACCAGGCTAGAAACAGGAAGACCCTGAGTTCTAGTCCTGCCTTAGGCACAAAGCCAGCTGGGTGACCTTGGGCCAGTCACTGTCACCCCTAGAGAGAAGGCCTTGGCAAACCACTTCTGGAAATCTTGCCAAGAAAACTGCATGGACTAATCTAGGCAGTCATCAGGAGTCAAAACTGTTTTGAAGGCACACATTGAAGAAAAAAATCAGATTAAAACACGTTTTTCTTCCAAACAATTGTCTCTTGCTTCCCTTTCCCTTTCCTTATTTCTCCCAATTACACAATACCACACTTGGCAAGTTTGTAAAAATGGATGTCTGAAATGAATGGGCCAACTTTAGAAGCCAGCTTCACTTTTGGTCTGAGGTGGTTGCAAAAGATTCCAGTGGTCTGCAGGCTTAAATCATAACAATCTATTCCAGGGGGAACAATGATACCCATGTAATTATCCACATCTTGTTTAATGTTTGGGTTTTGAGCTTGTAAAGGAAAAAAATGCGTGGAAGAAACAAGATCTCTATTTATTTGGGAGGAACAAAGGGAAACAGCAGACTGGAAAGTTAGTTTCTATAGCAAAAAGTAACTCTTAGAACAGATAGTGCTTACAATCAAGGGTGATATCTCCTTTGTCATCTTTATTGATAGACCTTTCCAGAAAGGAAAAATTGAATAGTACCTTGCCGATATCTGGAATTCAGACATTGTGCTAAGTTGTGGGATTTTTTTTAAACAACACAGCTGATCACATAAACCATGACTGACAAATCATAATAGCTTCTTTCCCACAACATTTTAAGGCAAAGCCAAACAAACATTCTTGGGTTAGTATAATGTGTGGATCTTCTCACTGTGTATGCTGAGCAGTCTGTGGATCTTCTAGCAGATGCCTGGCATGGTCCCTTCAAATATCATCATCTGTATCCTATAGAACAAAGGCACCCCAGGACTATTAAAATGGAAACTAGCTGTTTTTTTTTACCTTTCCTCTGGTAAGGGGAAGAGGGGAAAGAACAGGAATGGAGGATATGGGTTGGCAGATCTGAGACTTGTTTCCAAACTTTCCTGGTGGATCTCCTACACGGGGAGGAAATTGACTACCCAACACTTGCTCCAAATAAAAATCCAAGTGTTTAGGTGGAAACAAGTGTTTAGTTGGGATGTTCATCCTATTTACACTAATGTTACAATAGTTAATTTGCATTAACTGAGCTGAACTCTAGATGGAAATCCATTCCTCCCTGTCTCATATTTTGTCTTTCTCTTTGAGAGCTCCTTTGGTCTGGGAAGCACTTGAGAAATCAACTAAACAGTACACCGTCAGCTAGCTCAATTGATTGTGAGAGCTGACAAAATATCACATCACAGCCACAGTTGATCAAGTTAAAAGCCAATTAAAAAAACTCCACAGCCATATATCAAGCAAAAGTTGTCTTAAATATGTATTCAACTTACCATTATTTACACCATTTTTTAAATTCTTACATCCTGATCCTGGAAGATCATCCCTTAGGTAAAGTTCTATAACAACAGAGAAATGAACTCCCAACTGGGAGTTTAATTATTTTTAACTAAATTACATTTTAGGGCATCAACTACACTGATTTTACCTCCTGTGCTGCTTTCCAAAATTAAATGGGGGGTCAGCTTCAGGAGTCTTAAGGGGTGAAGTAGACTTCTGTGCCTGTGCAAAGCTTAAGGCACCTGGTTTGTGCCTTAAGTCCAAATATAAAAACAAAAATGTTTTTGGACCTATCATTCTAGGAGGGTTCTGGGAACCAACAAGAGGATACCACAATTTGACCCCGTTTAAATTCCTATCAGGAAAGAAAAATGATTGCCAGAGGTTTAATTTCTCAATGCTTGATTAGGAATATAATTGGCAAAGAAAAAGAGAGATTTTTGTTTACCAGCAGGTGGCAGTAGATATGTATGAGTGGTTTGTGTGACAGAGAACAAGTATGTATTATAGTAAACCTATTCTGAAAAACTTTTGCTTTTCCCTGTTTATTTCCCAGGGATTACAGTACAGATGCCAATAACATTCAAATAAAGCAAACAAAACCTTTATGGCACAACTATTTTCTATGTGGATTCAAAGGAATACAGGTGAAGTAACTTCAGTCTACATCCTCCTCCTTTGGGATTTTCAACAAAATGAAAAGCAAAATATAAATGTTCTAATACATATGTTAGAAAGTTAAATACATGCTGTTTTAAAAAATATTCAGCAAGTACATACTATGTGTACAAAATATCTATATTTACAGTGTATTTATTGATAGGAAGCAATGTTAACTTTAATAGTATAATGTGTAATGTTTAGTATTATAAATTGTAGCTCTTTCTTTTTTGGGATCTAGACTTTTAAAAGTTGGCAAGTGGCCTATTAGAAATGTCAGAACTACTTTTCACAATTCCTCTGTATAAACATATTTTTAAAATGTAAGACAGAATCCCAGGGCGCAATCTGTTTATATTAAATTGAGCACATTATCCACGGGAAAGAAAAGTCCTGCACAGCTCGGTATATAAAAGTTCAATTTTGAGTCAGAGACTTTCTTCTCCTTCCATGTACATATTCTGTAATAAATGTGAAAGTTTGATCCATCTTCAAAGGAATGTCTGCTAATCCATTTCTGGTTAAGTATCTGATGGATTTCTCCCTGTTGGGAAATTGTCACAGCAAATAGTTTGTGTGCCTAAAAGGGGATTTTTTTTTTTGCGGGCAATTTACGGTAGTGTGCAGAACATGTTTAACTTGAGCTGTTTTCTGTGGGTGTTGCAGGAATTTTGCTGTTGCTGCCTAATATTGGAAATATGTCAAGAGGGTGGAAGGGGACTCAGCCTTTCTAAAACAGACCAGGCTTTCCAGAGATTGCCAATTTTTCTTAGAAATATAAGCATATGCAAACATAAGGATTTGTGGTGCTGGATTCGATCAGGATTGCCAAATGGATCTAGAAGCAATCAGTTTTGTCAGTATTGAACATAAAACTTTGGAAAGCAGAGGTTCAGCTTAGCATAGTTAAAGATCATTAATAGATCTGGCCTCCAAGATTTTTCCACAATCTTTTAAACTGTGGGGATACTCCAGATTGAGGGCCAGATGCAGATCTCATCCTGGCCTCCCAGGAGCCTTCTCTCATGTTGTAAACTCCTCCCACATAGACTCTGGCTCCACCCATTTTGGGCTTTGGCCATATCCTCTGTTGAAATGCATGTCCCAATAGCTTTGAGTAAGGTAATGGGGACTTTAAAGAAGAGAAAGATATGTGTTATCAATTTGCTAACCTCTAAATATGGGCAAGACTTGCTTCTAAATGAAAATGTGTAATATGGCATGGCTGAAAAGCCATCTGATCTAGTGACTGACCTATACTGAGGACACTCTACTCTCCAGGTGAGTAGGCTTGAACTCCAAGAATTCCTAAGCTGCATGCCCACTGCTGAGAATTCTGGGAGTTCAAAACCCCCCATACATATACAGTTTGAACCAGAGGGCTCTCTACTTTGCACAGAGGTGCTCTAGGTAAATCTAGATGATGCCAAGCCAGGGAAGTCTGTGTTAGAATGAACCTTCTGCCTAGCCGAAAATTGACTGACTGTCCTCACATATAATTTAAACCAGAGAAGGACAGCTTGAGACTCAACCGTTGCATGTGGTCTCAGAAGCCTCCTCTGATGGAATTTGCTGGATGTTGCTGCCGTGGTTTTGCTGCCTTTCTGAGGGAAGAAACACGTGGAAACAAAACCTGTAACATATTTAATGTTTTTTAAAACTAAGAAAGCCCTCCAAACCTCAATAAAATTTCACAAACATCTTAGCCTTCTCCCAAACTTAGAGCAAAAGTGGCTCCCAGCCACCCAGAGGTAGCTTGCCCTGATTTAGTAAGCTTCTAAATACAAAAAGAGATACCAGGAAATTCTTCTTCTAGACTAGTCACTATGACTGAAACAAACTCAGCACTTAAAAAAAGCATAAAAAGGCAATCTGAGTTCATGCATGTCTCTTATTTAGTTCACCGAGAACGAGATCATATAAAAAGGAAATGGGGGTGGGGCTTTATGGACACTGAATAAAAATGAAATATATACAATTTTCCCTTATCGTGTAATTTGCAGTGAAGTTTAGCTCTGTGGTTATCTTTGCCTTCTTTTTCATAAAAATGCATGCCAATGGGTTTATCTGTTTTGTACCAGTTTAATTATTCTCTCTGGGTACAGATCTGTAGTTGATTTTATTGTTCAGTCCCCATAAAGCACTGCAGAATAACTGTTCTCAAAAAGCTATGTTCAGGAGGCTGATGATTGTGTCTAGGCACCCAGCCACTAACATTAGCAGCTCTTGAGGCAGGTTTTATGCTGCATTTTCTTGGATGCTGTAACATAACACATTTTTCTGCTTAATTTGACATTTCATATTTAAATGACTTAAGTCATGCAGAGAACAAAAAACAGGTTAGATAAATGGAAGAAGGGAAAGAGCAGCATGCAAGTTGCATGTGAATTTCAGGAAAGCTGAGAAAATTTCCTCGAAATTTCTCTTAAACCAAACTCCAGATCCAGGCCAAAGCAGCTATTGGTTCCATTCCATCTGATATACTAGGAATCAGAAATACATATTAATTCTCTGCAGAGCAAGTGATTATGGTTTCTTTTAAACATTTGAGGCCAGGAATGTAAGAGGTTTCTCTTCCAAGCTTGCTTTCAGCTCATAGGAAGAAAGATTCCCAGGAAGAAAAAAATTGTACCCAAAGATAGGGAAGAAACTGCTTCATTGAATGGCACAGCTGCTAACTGTGATGTAGAAAGGAGGAGAGCAATGAGGATGGAAATTCCAAATTGGCCAAATTGCAATGGACCAAAAGGCCATCTTTCTGTATATTGACAATAGAGCAGGGAAAGCAATTAATGGAGGCAGTTGTCTTCTGGATGGCCACTTAGACATTACATTCAAAGAGCTCAGTGGAGCAGATCCCTCATCCAGGGTAAATTAGCTGCTGAGTTTAATTTGGCCAATAGCTCAGTTTTTCTCTACTATTTCTCTAATAGCCTATGGAATGGTTTGTGAATTCATAGCATTCTAATGCAACTGCTTAATTGGTTAAACAGCATCCGTGCATTTCTGCTTCTCTTTTGGAAAAAAAAAAATCCATGTGTTGAAGAGCAACACAGGACTGCAAAGAACACATGATGTGTTTTTAGATGAATGCACTCGGAGAAATAATCAGATTGAAATCATGCTTCCTACCTTTTTTTCAGTGTGTATGCCAAAACTGTATGTAGAAACACAGAATAATCTTATGCAAGGTTTGTTTTGTGATGAAAGACATTAGCATTAATGTGTTTTACATGCATTGTTTGGTCATCTTAAAACTAGGTTAAGAAAAAAGAGTAGATACACAAAATGGGCTCTCTTCCCTATCTTTGGGTACAATTTTTGGGGGTACAATTCTAATGTGACTCATTAGTTGCCATCCAATGCAAGGCAAATCAACTCTAGATATGTTCTATCAATGTTTAGTTGCAGACGGCTTTCTCTAGCATTCAATTGTGCCTTTCTCTAACTGTCTGGTAGCATATTCCAACTATTCAGCTAGCTGTGAGGATGACAAGTATAATTCCACAATTCCTACCCCAGTGATTATGTCTGACATTTTTTTCTCCCTCAGCATTCACCAGAGTGTTGCGTTTTATATTTATTTGATCTGACATGCCAGCCTCCCATTTGGCATGCAAGCTACCTATAACGCTTCCAGATTTTTGATTGACAAAGTAGAGTTTTTGGGAATTGTTAACATAGTTTAGGTTATGGGTTGTGCTTTTTGGCCCCAGTAGCTTGTCTGCTGATTTATACTAGGAGTCTGGAACAAGAATGACTTTGTGGATTGAGCGACAGCCTTCTAAAGTGGGCTTTGCCCATTCAGTCCAAGGGCATTCACTCAGCTGCTGGCTCCCTGATTCAAGAGGAGCAGACTACATTTTCAAAGACTTGAGCCTTAAACAGTATTGTAATTAACACCAAACTGAAAATTGTTTCTGCATTTCCCCCCAAATTACTTTCCTTCAATTTGATGGAAAAGAAATTGCTTTTGAATTTTTAGGTGGAAAAAGAGGAAAATAGCAATATTCTATAGATGTGGTGTGGATTTCTTGTGCTTCATTGCATAAGGTGTATCTTGTATTGTACAAGTCTTATCTCCAGAGTCTGCAGCCTCCGTGGCTTCCTCTCAGCAATTAAAGCCCAAGGAAGACCCCTCCCCATGTTATTTTTTTAGATCAGGAAGTGAAGCAGCTCAGGAGGCTGCAGAGTAATGGAGAGATGTGGGACAAAATGCATACCTTACAACATTAAAATGAACTTAGGAACACTGTCAAAAGGAATTTTAAAGCCTCCTGAGAATGAGGCAGAAAAAAAAAGTATTGTTTGCGGGGAAGAAATTTTTCAGAAAGCTTGAAAACAGATTTCAGCAGTATAAATTAGCTAATGATGCAACACTAGATCTAACACAATTATATCCTGGGCCTGTAAAAGTATTGCCCTGTGAAACAATTCTTAAGCACTAGATTCTTTCTGTGAAAGCAGGTCCAGGCAGCTATGTATGTCCTACCCCAGGAAGCCCGAGTTCATCTGGAACACTGAAATCAGTTTATCTTGTATTGTTAGGATCATTTCAGTCTGGAGAACCCAAGTGGCATTAACTGCCTTGTAGAAGGCACAATTCCTCCAAGTTCTGGCTTATCGAGCTCCAGCGCGTTGGTCTGTTGTGCAGGACTTGTGACTCTTATGGCAAATGGAAAGACGCTTTCAAAGGTAAGTTGTAAAGAAAGACCATGCTCTGTAACAGACTGTTGAAATTCAAGCTTGTGAATATGCATAAATATTTTTTTAAAACCCTCAAAACTCTGAATTGTTTCCACTATTAGTAGTTGGGGAGTTTATCTGAGAAGTGGACTGATGGGAGTTTTGAGAGTGTGTTGTGGGAACTCACAAAAGGGCCATTTAAAATAAACAGCTACAATAATTATTTGTATCCTTTCAGAATAAGAGTTCTTTGAAAATGGCAATACAAAAATTGTAAATAAAAACACAGTAAATATTTAACAACAAATATAGTCATGTGTTGAATTCTTCCCATAGTGGCAATGGCCCTTTTGGAGGGGGTGGGGATGGCAGGGAAAGAAGAATCCAGCTGAACTGGTTTCAGGGTTGATTGCCTCCTGCGTTCTTCCACTTTCCACTTTACCAGAAGACTATTACTGAGATGAGTTCTTCTCATGCTTCCTCCCCCAGATGCTCTCTACTATCCCAGCTTAGCCTTGTCTTTTATCTAAAGCAAGAGGAGATTCTGTCAAGTAATGTCCTGGGCTGTACCCATTTGTCATTAAGGCTTATGTTATAAGAACCTCCTCAGGCAATTCTAATCTTCCCCAGAAATGCCATATCACCATGTGCCTGCACCATCAGAGGTAATGCGGTGACTGAGGAGAGAAACTTCTCAATGGTAACATGCCATTACTGAATGTCAGTCCCAAAGAGCTCTACCTGGCACCTTCACACTTGGATTTCAGACAGCACAGTTGAGACTATATGAATTTTCAGGATAGATTATTCAATTGCTTTTCTCAATCTCAAGAAAATTGCTTTTCTTGTTTAAAGGGTACTTTTTGTGACAATTGTTACAACTGCTCATGCTATTCTTTTATTTTTTTATGCTATGTTGAGAAGTCTACTGCTTAATTTGCTGAAGAATAGGCATATTTAAA